TTCACACTCCAGCACCTCAATGTCCTTCTTGTAGTGAGGGACCCAAAACTGAACCCAGCACTCGACGTGCGGCCTCACCAGTGCCAAGTAGAGGGGACCAGTCACTGCACTGCTCCTGCTGGCCACACCATTGCTGATACAAGCCAGGATGTTGTTGGCTTTCTTGGCCACCTGGACATGCTGCTGGCTCATGGTCAGCCACTGTCGACCAATACCTCCAGGTCCTTTTCCATCAGGCAACTTTGCAGCCACTCTTCCCCAAACCTGTAGCGTTGCCTGGGGTTGGTGTGACCCAAGTGCAGGACCCATCACTGAGCCTTGTTAAACCTCATCCAGTTGGCCTTGGCCCATCGATCCAGCCTGTCCAGATCCCTCTGCAGAGCCTTCCTACCCTCCAGAAGATCAACTGGTGATACTGGGAAGGACTTCTCATCATAATTGATGGATGGCACAATTCATCAATTCTCCCCAGAGCAGAAGAGGGCACAGAGCCAACATGGCAAAACCTAAGCCCCATGAGATAGACCTCCCCATGTCCCAAATTTTATCTGGAGTCTTTCCGTCCCACTTATCCATCAAAAGAAGAGAAGCAGAAGTTCACGTGTCCAAGAGGTCACCTAAAGCAACAGGGACCTTCAGAGAAAACAGCTGGCATCATGATTTTATGGATATAAAGCCCCAAATTTTACTCACAAAACTTTTTCGTTGCTTGCTCTGGCCACCTTGATGCCAAAGGGATTTTGCTGGACATAAACTTTATATTTTAAATCGGAGGCTGCTGGACCGCTGAAAGATGTCACGTGCTCATGGGGAACTTCAAATCTTTGCGTTTTAGGATCGGTGATCTGCATGTGTTTAAAGAACGAAATGGGTACTTTAGAAATTAACACCTAATTAATTTCAGCCTCTTAATTTGAGGAGATACGAGGGGGTTTCCCATTATTGCTTGATCTGAGGGTATTTTTCCCATGGGAAAGAGGCAGGAGGCCGAATTCTGCGCAATTCGTTTGCCCAGCGCTTCTTCAGCATCTCTACATGTTCCACCTTGGCTGGGTGGAACCAAACCCAGCCTGACTCCCAGATTTTTTGGCAGGAGAACATGTGGCACCCTCCAGCCCCAAGAAAACTTAAGAAAGAAAAAGAGGGGAAAAAAAAAAAGAAAAGAAGGAAAAAGGAAAAAAGAAAAAAGGAAAAAAGTAAAGAGAAAGAAGGAAAAGAAAAAAGAAAAAGGAAAGAAAAAGAAAAAAGAAAAAGGAAAGAAAAAGGAAAAAGGAAAAAAGGGAAAAGGAAAAAGGGAAAAGGAAACAGAAAAAGAAAGAAAAAAGAAACAACAAAATAAGAATAAAAATAAAATAA